TATATATATATGAGGCAGAGGCAAGTGTGGTTGTGTGTGTGTACACATACATTTGTATAATTGTGCATAAGGGGTTTTATTGATTTTTAGGTTTACCATATTGTTCCCCAGAGGTGGACTCATGATTTATTTCAAGAAAGTGCTAATTAACTCTTTAGTATGGTACAGGCAGTCCTCGACTTAGGGCGTTTCAACTTACGGTGATTTGCACTTGCGGTGCTCTGCCACTTACACCCAAGTTACTATTTGTGGCGCTGGATCCTCGCACATACGGCACTACAGGGAAATTCACAATAAGAAAAAGAGGGCAGCAAAACAAACATCCCTGGATCAGTTTCTCAAAAAGCCCTCAAGTGGCCCTAAGTCTCCCCAAAGAAGCCCTTCTGAATTCCATGACCCTTCTGATTAAATAAAATTAAATGTGATTAGCTACTGTATTGCCCTGTTTAATCGATTTATATACCGTACACTTTAGAAAGCTTCGTTATGTAGAGTGTATATCATTTATAGTTGATTAAATAGTTGATTTAAATATGTTGTTTGTGGTCATGTCTGTAAAAAGTGGGGCATCAGGCCCTTGGTCAGGAACGTAACCCCTTATTTATAACATTGTTTCTGTGGGAAAATCAGCTTCAACTTGCATTGTTTTGACTTACAGCGCCTTTTCCAGGAATGTAACCCACCATGAGTGTGAGGACTGCTTGTATTCAGATTAAAATTTCTACAAAGCTAATTTAGAAAACTGCTTTCTTATGGACAGTAACTTCGTATCCTTCTCTTTCTAAATTTAGACTGCATTTGTCTTAGAGTAAATATTTTTAGATTTGTTTCCTTTACATACTGATAATATACATTTTCAGGTATGTTATCACTTGATGTGCTATGACTTTCATAAGACCACATTTCCTGCAGGAACAACTCTGATGGCACTGGAGCTGTGTTGTTTTGTTCAGATTTATCCTGGACATTCTACGCAATTCTATCAATAGAATTCTGGGATGAGTGGGTCTTCTTGTGGGGAGGGGGGCATTCTTCTAGCCATGAAGGATAAGAAGCTGGGCTTCAAAACGGTCGCTAGACTAGTAGCTTTCCATCCCTGCTTCTCCCTAGGCACATGCTGGAAAACTGCTGAGTAATTAGAATTTTATGAGGAATTCTGCTGGCGACCTCTAATCGGTGCAGTTTAGGTCAAAAGGTACAACACAAACATGTGCTTTCTCTTGTGGAGGCTGAACAGGTTCAGGTCCAGTAGCC